AGGCTACAAGTGTCTAGACTGTAGCACTGACCATGAAGGCTTCAAGTTTCTAGACTGTAGCACTGTCCATGAAGGCTACAAGTGTCTAGACTGTAACACTGTCCATAAAGGCTACAAGTGTCTAGACTGTAGTACTGTCCATGAAGGCTTCAAGTTTCTAGACTGTAGCACTGACCATGAAGGCTACAAGTTTCTAGACTGTAGCACTGACCATGAAGGCTACAAGTTTCTAGACTGTAGCTCTGACCATGAAGGCTACAAGTGTCTTAACTGTAACACTGACCATGAAGGCTTCAAGTTTCTAGACTGTAGCACTGACCATGAAGGCTTCAAGTTTCTAGACTGTAGCACTGTCCATGAAGGCTACAAGTTTCTAGACTGTAGCACTGACCATGAAGGCTACAAGTTTCTAGACTGTAACACTGTCCATGAAGGCTACAAGTTTCTAGACTGTAGCACTGTCAGTGAAGGCTTCAAGTTTCTAGACTGTAGCACTGTCCATGAAGGCTACAAGTTTCTAGACTGTAGCACTGACCATGAAGGCTACAAGTTTCTAGACTGTAGCACTGTCCATGAAGGCTACAAGTTTCTAGACTGTAACACTGACCATGAAGGCTTCAAGTTTCTAGACTGTAGCACTGACCATGAAGGCTACAAGTTTCTAGACTGTAGCACTGATAATGAAGGCTACAAGTTTCTAGACTGTAGCACTGACCATGAAGGCTACAAGTTTCTAGACTGTAACACTGTCCATGAAGGCTACAAGTTTCTACACTGTAGCACTGTCCATGAAGGCTACAAGTTTCTAGACTGTAGCACTGACCATGAAGGCTACAAGTTTCTAGACTGTAGCACTGACCATGAAGGCTACAAGTTTCTAGACTGTCTGACCATGAAGGCTACAAGTTTCTAGACTGAAGCACTATCCACGAAGGCTACACGTTTCTAGACTGTAGCACTGACCATGAAGGCTACAAGTTTCTAGACTGTAGCACTGTCCATGAAGGCTACAAGTTTCTAGACTGTAGCACTGACCATGAAGGCTACAAGTTTCTAGACTGTCTGTCCATGAAGGCTACAAGTTTCTAGACTGTCTGACCATGAAGGCTACAAGTTTCTAGACTGAAGCACTGACCATGAAGGCTTCAAGTTTCCAGACTGTAGCACTGTCCATGAAGGCTTCAAGTTTCTAGACTGTAACACTGACCATGAAGGCTACAAGGATCTAGACTGTAGCACTGACCATGAAAGCTACAAGTTTCTAGACTGTAGCACTGTCCATGAAGGCTACAAGTGTCTAGACTGTAACACTGTCCATAAAGGCTACAAGTGTCTAGACTGTAACACTGTCCATGAAGGCTACAAGTTTCTAGACTGTAGCACTGTCCATGAAGGCTTCAAGTTTATAGACTGAAGCACTGACCATGAAGGCTTCAAGTTTGTAGACCGAAGCACTGACCATGAAGGCTTCAAGTTTCTAGACTGTAGCACTGACCATGAAGGCTTTAAGTTTCTAGACTGAAGCACTTTCCATGAAGGCTACACGTTTCTAGACTGTAGCACTGACCATGAAGGCTACAAGTTTCTAGACTGTAGCACTGTCCATGAAGGCTTCAAGTTTATAGACTGAAGCACTGACCATGATTGCTTCAAGTTTCTAGACTGTAGCACTGACCATGAAGGCTTCAAGTTTCTAGACTGAAGCACTGACCATGAAGGCTTCAAGTTTCCAGACTGTAGCACTGTCCATGAAGGCAAAAGTTTCTAGACTGTAACACTGTCCATAAAGGCTACAAGTGTCTAGACTGTAACACTGTCCATGAAGGCTACAAGTTTCTAGACTGTAGCACTGTCCATGAAGGCTTCAAGTTTATAGACTGAAGCACTGACCATGAAGGCTTCAAGTTTGTAGACAGAAGCACTGACCATGAAGGCTTCAAGTTTCTAGACTGTAGCACTGACCATGAAGGCTTTAAGTTTCTAGACTGAAGCACTTTCCATGAAGGCTACACGTTTCTAGACTGTAGCACTGACCATGAAGGCTACAAGTTTCTAGACTGTAGCACTGTCCATGAAGGCTACAAGTTTATAGACTGAAGCACTGACGATGATTGCTTCAAGTTTCTAGACTGTAGCACTGTCCATGAAGGCTTCAAGTTTCTAGACTGTAGCACTGACCATGAAGGCTTCAAGTTTCTAGACTGTAGCTCTGTCAGTTAAGGCTACAAGTACTTACATTGTAGTACTATCCATGAAGGCTACATGTTTTTAGACTGTAGCACTGACCATGAAGGCTACATGTTTTTAGACTGTAGCACTGACCATGAAGGCTTCAAGTTTCTAGACTGAAGCACTGACCATGAAGGCTTCAAGTTTCTAGACTGTAGCTCTGTCAGTTAAGGCTACAAGTACTTACATTGTAGAACTATCCATGAAGGCTACACGTTTTTAGACTGTAGCACTGACCATGAAGGCTTCAAGTTTCTAGACTGAAGCACTGACCATGAAGGCTTCAAGTTTCTAGACTGTAGCACTGTCCATGAAGGCTTCAAGTTTCTAGACTGTAGCACTGACCATGAAGGCTTCAAGTTTCTAGACTGTAGCTCTGTCAGTTAAGGCTACAAGTACTTACATTGTAGTACTATCCATGAAGGCTACACGTTTTTAGACTGTAGCACTGACCATGAAGGCTTCAAGTTTCTAGACTGAAGCACTGACCATGAAGGCTTCAAGTTTCTAGACTGAAGCACTGACCATGAAGGCTTCAAGTTTCTAGACTGTAGCACTGTCCATGAAGGCTTCAAGTTTCTAGACTGTAGCACTGACCATGAAGGCTTCAAGTTTCTAGACTGTAGCTCTGTCAGTTAAGGCTACAAGTACTTACATTGTAGTACTATCCATGAAGGCTACACGTTTTTAGACTGTAGCACTGACCATGAAGGCTTCAAGTTTCTAGACTGAAGCACTGACCATGAAGGCTTCAAGTTTCTAGACTGTAGCACTGTCCATGAAGGCTTCAAGTTTCTAGACTGTAGCACTGACCATGAAGGCTTCAAGTTTCTAGACTGTAGCTCTGTCAGTTAAGGCTACAAGTACTTACACTGTAGTACTATCCATGAAGGCTACACGTTTTTAGACTGTAGCACTGACCATGAAGGCTTCAAGTTTCTAGACTGTAGCACTGACCATGAAGGCTTCAAGTTTCTAGACTGTAGCTCTGTTGAAGGCTACAAGTACTTACATTGTAGCACTGACCATGAAGGCTTCAAGTTTCTAGACTGAAGCACTATCCATGAAGGCTTCAAGTTTCTATACTGTAGCACTGACCATGAAGGCTTCAAGTTTCTAGACTGTAGCACTGACCATGAAGGCTACAAGTTTCTAGACTGTAGCTCTGTCAATGAAGGCTACACATACTTATAGTGTAGCACTGTCGATAAAGGCTACAAGTTTCTCGACTGTAACACTGTCCATGAAGGCTACAAGTTTCTAGACTGTAACACTGTCCATGAAGGCTACAAGTTTCCAGACTGTAGCACTATCCATGAAGGCTACAAGTTTATGGACTGTAGCTCTGTCAGTGAAGGCTACAAGTACTTTCATTGTAGCACTGTCCATGAAGGCTACAAGTTTCTAGACTGTCTGTCCATGAAGGCTACAAGTGTCTAGACTGTAACACTGTCCATGAAGGCTACAAGTTTCTAGACTGTAGCACTATCCATGAAGGCTACAAGTTTCTCGACTGTAACACTGTCCATGAAGGCTACAAGTTTCTAGACTGTAGCACTATCCATGAAGGCTATAAGTTTATAGACTGTAGCTCTGTCAGTGAAGGCTACAAGTTTCTAGACTGTCTATCCATGAAGGCTACAAGTTTCTAGACTGTAGCACTATCAGTGAAGGCTACAAGTTTCTAGACTGTCTGTCAGTGAAGGCTACAAGTACTTACATTGTAGTACTGTCCATGTAGGCTACAAGTTTCTAGACTGTAGCACTTTCAGTGAAGGCTACAAGTTTCTAGACTGTAGCACTGTCAGTGAAGGCTACAAGTTTCTAGACTGTAGCTCTGTCAATGAAGGCTACACATACTTATAGTGTAGCACTGTCGATGAAGGCTACAAGTTTCTCGACTGTAACACTGTCCATGAAGGCTACAAGTGTCTAGACTGTAACACTGTCCATGAAGGGTACAAGTTTCTAGACTGTAGCACTATCCATGAAGGCTACAAGTTTCTCGACTGTAACACTGTCCATGAAGGCTACAAGTTTTTAGACTGTAGCACTATCCATGAAGGCTACAAGTTTCTAGACTGTAGCTCTGTCAGTGAAGGCTACAAGTTTCTAGACTGTAGCACTGACCATGAAGGCTTAAAGTTTCTAGACTGTAGCTCTGTCAGTGAAGGCTACAAGTACTTACATTGTAGCACTGACCATGAAGGCTTCAAGTTTCTAGACTGAAGCACTATCCATGAAGGCTACAAGTTTCTAGACTGTAGCACTGACCATGAAGGCTTCAAGTTTCTAGACTGAAGCACTGTGCATGAAGGCTACACGTTTCTAGACTGTAGCACTGACCTTGAAAGGCTACAAGTTTCTAGACTGTAGCTCTGCCAATGAAGGCTACAAGTTTCTAGACTGTCTGTCCATGAAGGCTACAAGTTTCTAGACTGTAGTACTGTCCATGAAGGCTACAAGTTTCTAGACTGTAGCACTGTCCATGAAGGCTACAAGTTTCTAGACTGTCTGTCCATGAAGGCTACAAGTTTCTAGACTGTAGCACTGACCATGAAGGCTACAAGTTTCTAGACTGTCTGTCCATGAAGGCTACAAGTTTCTAGAGTGTAGCACTGTCCATGAAGGCTACAAGTTTCTAGACTGTAGCACTGTCCATGAAGGCTACAAGTTTCTAGACTGTCTGTCCATGAAGGCTACAAGTTTCTAGACTGTAGCACTGTCCATGAAGGCTACAAGTTTCTAGATTGTATGACCAACTGACCAACCTGTGTAACATCTGTGTTTCCGTAGTCATCAAATGTGATGGTGCACGTTCCATCCTCCAGGATCTCATCAATCAAGGCCTCATAGTACCTGGCAGAAAAATAGGTTCACAAGTCAAAAACAGTCAGTAAATAGTGTCTAACACTACATAGAAGACGACCATTTTCAGAGGAACATAGAACAAAATTTCAGACATGTCTGAGGAAATGATGTTAAAAATAGCAAGAAAACATCAGTGCAACGGTTTCTGAGGAGATACAAGATGTTTCAAGAATACATTTGAGAGGCGGTTTCTGAGGAAATGTTTACAAGGCAAGAATACATTAGTGAGGTTGTTTCTGAGGAGATGATGTTTACAATGGCAAGAATACATTAGTGAGGCGGTTTCTGAGGAGATGAAGTTTACAAGGCAAGAATACATTTGGGAGGAGGTTTCTGAGGAAATGTTTACAAGGCAAGAATACATTAGTGAGGTTGTTTCTGAGGAGATGATGTTTGCAATGGCAAGAATATATTAGTGAGGCGGTTCCTGAGGAGATGAAGTTTACAAGGCAAGAATACATTAGTGAGGCGGTTTCTGAGGAGATGATGTTTACTAGGCAAGAATACATTTGAGAGGTGGTTTCTGAGGAAATGTTTACAAGGCAAGAATACATTTGTGTAGCGGTTTCAGAGGAGATGGTGTTTACAATGGAAAGAATACATTAGTGAGGCAGTTTCTGAGGAGATGATGTTTGCAATGGCAAGAATACATTAGTGAGGTTGTTTCTGAGGAGATGATGTTTGCAATGGTAAGAATACATTAGTGAGGCGGTTTCTGAGGAGATGATGTTTACTAGGCAAGAATACATTTGAGAGGTGGTTTCTGAGGAAATGTTTACAAGGCAAGAATACATTTGTGTAGCGGTTTCAGAGGAGATGGTGTTTACAATGGAAAGAATACATTAGTGAGGCGGTTTCTGAGGAGATGATGTTTACTAGGCAAGAATACATTTGAGAGGTGGTTTCTGAGGAAATGTTTACAAGGCAAGAATACATTTGTGTAGCGGTTTCAGAGGAGATGGTGTTTACAATGGAAAGAAAACATTAGTGAGGCGGTTTCTGAGGAGATGAAGTTTACAATGGCAAGAAAACATCATTGCAGCGGTTTCTGAGGAGATGATGTTTACAAGGCAAGAATACATTTGTGAAGCGATTTCAGAGGAGATGATGTTTACAATGGCAAGAATACATTAGTGAGGCGCTTTCTGAGAAGAAGATGTTTACAAGGCCAGAATACATTAGTGAGGTGGTTTCTGAGGAGATGATGTTTACAATGGCAAGAAAACATTTGTGAAGCAGTTTCAGAGGAGATGATGTTTACAATGGCAAGAAAACATCAGTGCAGCGGTTTCTGGGGAGATGATGTTTACAATCCCATTAAAACATCAGAGCAGCGGTTTCTGAGAGATGATGTTTACAATGGCAAGAATACATTAGTGAGGCGGTTTCTGAGGAGATGATGTTTACAAAGCAAGAATACATTACAAAACAGGAATACATCAGTGAGGCGGTTTCTGAGAGATGATGTTTACAAGGCAAGAATACATTAGTGAAGCAGTTTCAGAGGAGATGATGTTTACAATGGCAAGAAAACATCAGTGCAGCGGTTTCTGGGGAGATGATGTTTACAATCCCAAGAAAACATCAGAGCAGCGGTTTCTGAGAGATGATGTTTACAATGGCAATAAGACATAAGTGCAGCGGTGTCTGAGGAGATGATGTTTTCAATGGAAAGAATACATTAATGAGGCGGTTTCTGAGGAGATGATGTTTGCAAAGGCAAGAATACATAAGTGAGGCGGTTTCTGAGGAAATGTTTACAAGGCAAGAATACATTTGTGAGGTTGTTTCTGAGGAGATGATGTTTGCAATGGCAAGAATACATTAGTGAGGCGGTTTCTGAGGAGATGAAGTTTACAAGGCAAGAATACATTAGTGAGGCGGTTTCTGAGGAGATGAAGTTTACAAGGCAAGAATACATTTGGGAGGAGGTTTCTGAGGAAATGTTTACAAGGCAAGAATACATTAGTGAGGTTGTTTCTGAGGAGATGATGTTTGCAATGGCAAGAATATATTAGTGAGGCGGTTCCTGAGGAGATGAAGTTTACAAGGCAAGAATACATTAGTGAGGCGGTTTCTGAGAAGATGATGTTTACTAGGCAAGAATACATTTGAGAGGTAGTTTCTGAGGAAATGTTTACAAGGCAAGAATACATTTGTGTAGCGGTTTCAGAGGAGATGATGTTTTCAATGGAAAGAATACATTAATGAGGCGGTTTCTGAGGAGATGATGTTTGCAAAGGCAAGAATACATAAGTGAGGCGGTTTCTGAGGAAATGAAGTTTACAAGGAAAGAAAACATCTATGAGGTGGTTTCTGAGGAGATGATGTTTACAAAGCAAGAAAGAATACATTAGTGAGGCGGTTTCTGAGGAGATGATGTTTACAATGGCAAGAATACATTAGTGAGGCGGTTTCTGAGGAGATGATGTTTACAATGTAAAGAATACATTAATAAGGCAGTTTCTGAGGAGATGATGTTTGCAAAGGCAAGAATACATAAGTGAGGCGGTTTCTGAGGAGATGAAGTTTACAAGGCAAGAAAACATCTGTGAGGTGGTTTCTGAGGAGATGATGTTTACAAAGCAAGAAAGAATACATTAGTGAGGCGGTTTCTGAGGAGATGATGTTTCCAAGGCAAGAATACATTACAAAACAGGAATACATAAGTGAGGTGATTTCTGAGGGATGATGTTTACAAGGCAAGAATACATCTGTGAAGTGGTTTCAGAGGAGATGATGTTTACAATGGAAAGAATACATTAGTGAGACGGTTTCTGAGGAGATGATGTTTACAATGGCAAGAAGACATTCGTGAGGTGGTTTCTGAGGGGATGATGTTTACAAAGCAAGAATATATTAGTGAGACGTTTCTGAGGAGATGATGTTTACAATGGCAAGAATACATTAGTGAGGTGGTTTCTGAGGAGATTAGTAGAATCTAAACCTTTTTTACATTTGTATACCTATCCTACATTACTCCTTAATGCAGTCACTGCTTACCTTATGACAACTAGAAAGACAGCGCAGCTGCGATGGTCCTGGGTGAAGAGGTAAAGAAGGTAAAGAGCTGTCGTTGACAAAGAAGATTGTCTAATACTCTTCCACTGGCAGAAAGTGAGTGACCTGCTGGGTTACAAACAGAGGGCCAAAACTTTGCATGCCTTTGACGTCCTCAAGAGCCACAACACGAAGATAATGACTAACAAAAACTGTGTCGAACCTCCAGAAATATCCTTCCGTGATTGTTTAAATGGAACAATTGCAGTATAGAGCTATGGTAAAGGCTAACACCCTGAGATCGTGAGGGTAATTCGCTCTCGGCAGATTCTGTTTGGCGATCTTGTAAGCCTGAAGGATGACTGGGCGTAACCATAGGGATATGGTGTTTGTGACTAACTTGGGTCGTGGATGTAGTAAACACGGGTATAAATAACTGCTTCCTCAAACCACCCCTCACCTTGGAGTGGCGAATGAAAACTCGAACTGTTCACAAAGAGCCTAGAAGAGATTCACCTTCATGTACGGCTCCCACAATAGTCGATATTGGTGGGATGGTGAAGTAACGATCGGGTTTCCCTGGTAGTTGATTTTAGCAATAAAATCCCAGCAAAACCCACGATGTACCGCTCCCTGCGTCCCATGCTCAAAGCGGACCCTGGTGGTGTCGATCGCATGGTGTGGATAGTTTGCTCACCCATGCCGCCATGGCTAATGCCAGGAGAAACCATTGTTTCCTTGGTGACGTCATAAAATGATGATGCATAGAGGGCCTCGAAGGAGGCCCTCGGAAATCTCAAAGTACCACGTTCAAGTCCCAAGCAGGTGGGCCTGAATAAGCCTCAAGCCTGAATGAGCGTAATAGGGCCTGTAGTTCTGCGACCTTAATCACCTTAAGGATTAACTCTGAGTTAAGTGCAACCAATTACGTAGTAATGGTGCTACTTTCCAAGTGTCTTTGGGTACGCAAATGTAGGAGGTATTCCGCTAGGGATTGTTCTGACGCAATCGTAGGGTTTTGATTCTTTTGCCTTGCAAAAAGTCTCAACTTGTCATCGTATAGTCCTCTGGAAGACGAACGATGAACTAAAACTATAGCTTTGTTGCCCATGCCGAAATTGTTAATGTGTGGATACGAAACTTCCCCTCGAATACGAAACTGCTGTCTATGATTTGAGAATGACTTTACGGCGGCAATCTTGGTTTGCTCTAGGCAGGCAGTTGAGTGACAACCTGTGTGGGTGCAGGAGGTGTATTGTGTTGGCAGTCGTTTTGAATACAAGTGTATATGAAGAACCTGTGTCCGTCTATTTTAACAGAAATAGCCCCTCAAACTTAAGGGCCTTTAAAAGACGAACCATGCGTGCAGACGTTGGATGAGACAATTTGCTGTGAGGGTGGATATTAGGTTGGACCACTGTGGGAGAGGCAGTGGATAATCTACTGCTGGATTTTTTTGAGCTCGATGAACCACCCTCTCGCCGGCCACCAGGGCGCGACCAAGGAGAGCAAGATACCTGTCTCCTTGATCCCCTGTATCACCTTGGGAAGTAAAACTGGTGTTTTTAGCCCTTCCCAAGGGATGCTGAACGCACCCACCGCCCAATTTTGCGGATCCCGTAACGGGGAGACAAATGTCATGCGTGGCCTAGGCAAGTAGCAAACAAGTCGATGTTCGGTTGCCTGAACTTCTGAAGCAGTAACTGGAATGCTTCTGTGTGAAGTTTCCATTCAGTGGGGGCCACCCTGTGTGGACGCGATAAAGCATCAGCCAGAATGTGCTGAACTATGAACTGTAGTTGCAGCCTATCCACTAGATGGAAAAATCTGAATGTCTGTTGAAGTAGAGAGTGGGAGTGCGTGGTTCCCTGATTGCGCAGGCACCACACAACAGTGCTGTTGTCTGTGGATATTGCGATTTGGGCTGACTGTAGTTGTTTCTGCCAATGTGATATGGCCAGAATTTAATGCTTCCAACTCCCAAGTTGTTTATGTGCCACTTTCGCTGAGCGCCAGACCATAGCCCTGAGGTTGTCTTGCAAGTGAGCACCCCACTCCTGAAGGGAGGCGTCCATGAACAGGTGTATACTCGGGGATAACCTGAATAAAGAGACTCCTAAGACATTCAACTCCACCAATTGAGGTAAGAGTGATGGCCTTGAGTGGATCCTGAGGGTTCAGGAAATGATGAATTGGGCACAGTTGTAAGCTGCCTATGCTAGTTAAATCCTGTGCCGAAATGAGTAACACTAGAAACACTTGCCCTTGGCGAAGCTTGCGTGGTTGGAGTAGAGCAGATGACAAGAGGCGTAGAATCTTGTGCCATCTGCCCCTCTGTACTGATAGGAGATCCTGGTCTGTCTGGAACAGGCCTCCTGTGAACTGAAGCCGATAGGAAGGAGGAGTAGCCGTCTGCCTAATGAATTCCCCGTGGTGTACTAACGTTGGCTTATGTTGATGACACAGTAGACCGTCCTCTATCTACGACTCAACCAAGTGTTCATCAGGTGTAGATACGCAGTTATTGGCTTCATTACTCCTGTAAATACACTACCCATTGGTAGTGAACCCCCATTGAACTGGACCTGAGGAGTCTGCGGTTGGGATGGATACTTGAGACTGATCAAGGATCGGATGCATTGATGTTGATTCTGAGCAGTCTCAATGGGGTGATGCATTGATGTTGATTCTGAGCAGTCTCAATGGGGTGATGCGACAATAATGTAGACGCTTCAGATAACGTTCGTTGAACACGGAGAGATTGTGGATCATTCGCATCTTGTCTGGGTTCTTCATGGATACCAGGCAGATGTGAGGATAAAACCTCGGTGTTAAGACTATAAGATTATGAGCCAACTCTACAGCTTTTCTTACCAACAGTATGTCTGTAGGATTTTCCAAGTCGAACTGTGGTCAATGGTGGGGTTACCACTATGTGTAGATGGAAACCATGATGTAGTACGTAATCGTCATTGAGACTTGCCTCTGCCATGCCCTTTCCCATGAAGGGAAAACTGGTCTTCCTTGAGAGACGCGCGTCTAGGCTTATAATTGCCTGACCTGCCAGCCCACTGGGACAGACTAAAAGAGACGTCCACTGGAGTCTTGATGTCATTTCAAGCATTTTGGGAACTTGGCATGCGTGTCTACGATCTGTTGAACAGGGGAGTAGATGACCAAGGTTGACGTAGCAGCATGCCCTTGAGTCCCAGTTGGAAAAACTCTAAAGTCTGTGTGTGACGGTAATCTCCCCCAGGGCGGCCTCAAGATGAATTTTTCTGTGGTCAATCTGATGCTGTAGGAAAATCACCAAAGTTTGGAAGTGATCTTATCAGATAGGGTTATCCTCTGATAGATCCTGATCCACCACAAGCGCTGACGATGTTGGTGGCTTAAATGACGGAGCAAATGTAAGTTTGGAGAAGTCTTCCTCCAATGACCTTGTGGTGTCCCTCTTATTTACCCCGTTACCAGGGGAGGGCACCACCATCACGAGATGGTCTGCTACCCAATTGGGTACTTGCCCTAAGCTGGGGTTCTGCTCCTGTGCGTAGTGCCTCCTCTATCAGAAGGCTTTGATGACCTGCCTGGAAAAGGAGCCATGTGCCGATTGTTTGTCGTTTAACGACGCACTCAGCAATATTCAAGCTATATGGCAGCGGTTGGTAAGTAATTGAGTCTGGACCAGACAATCCAGTGATTGACAACATGAGCATCGATCCACGCAATTGGGATCGATGACATGCATCAACCAAGTCAGCGAGTCTGACCACCCGATCCTGTTAGACGCCTCTTACAGCAAGCATAGTCATCTTTTACGGCAAGCATGGATTGCTGAAGACCTATTCTACCCCGGATCTTCACGGGCCTACTGTCCCAGAAAGCACATTGCTGTACCAGAAAGCACATAAGGCATTTGGTATATGTTAGGCACAGGTGTAGGCGCTTACACTTGTGCAAAAGTTGTTGGAACATCGCTAAGCTGATCATGTGCCGTTAAGGGTATGCCCGTGGGCATACCTTCAGATGTGAGCCATAAGAAACCCTTGTCAAGGTCCGATGAAACCGAACCGCAGACAAGAGATGACCGGAACATCAGCGACCATTTCTGTCGAAGGAAACAAGAGTCAATGCAAAAGAAGGAACCTGAAACAGGTTACAGAAATAGAATGAGTCAGGGAAGCCAAAAACTAGAACTGACCTAAGAGCGAATGTGGAACTCGGTAGAGCCCTCTAATGTGGGGTGATAAACACAAGAGAGGTCGAGGGGCCGAGGGGCCCCGCTCAAGGTAACGGAGAATCAGTGGCGTCGGGTGTTGGTGACCTGTTGGGCTACCACCAGGGGACCAGATCGATGTTTGGGGTGTTGAACGTTTGACAAAGGATGGTGAAGATCTCTGGGTGGAGCTTCCATTCGGTCGGAGCCACCTTGTCCGGCCTGCACAGAGCGTCTCCCAGAACATTCTTGCAACCTGGAATGTGTTGAACGCGGAATTGCAGGTCTAATCGGTCTACCAGGTCAAGGAATCGGAAGGTCTGGTTGAGCAGGGCCTGAGAGTGGAGAGTACCCTGATTCCTCAGACACCACACCATGGTGATGTTGTCTGTGGAGATGGTCAACTGGGCGTGACGCCGAATGCTCTGCCTGTGGGAGACGGCCAGGATGAGAGCTTCGAGTTCGAGGTTGTTGCTGTGCCAGTGGAGTCGATCTCCGGACCACAGCCCTGCAACCGTTTGAGTCCCCAAGTGAGCACCCCAACCCTGTTTGGATGCGTTGACGAACAGGTGGAGGGTGGGCTGTAGCCCAGTCAAGGAGACACTGCCCCAGACATTCGATTCCGCCGTCAACCATCGGAGGAAGGGGTGTAGGTGAACCGGGAGGATGATGAGGGACTCCGGATCCTGCTGCCAAATGAAGGGAGTGAGAAACCGTTGAATGGGACGGAGTTGGAGATGACCCCTGGCAGTAAGGTCTTGAGCCGATGTGATGAGGCACAGGAGAATCTGCCATTGGCGGAGAGTTCGAGCCTGCTGGAGGGCAGGGTAGAGGTGAGCGAGGATTTTCAACCGCCTGTCCCTGGGGACTTGATGGAGGTCCTGATCCGTGAGAAACAGGCCCCAGATGAACTGCAGATGGAACGATGGGGTCAGCTCCGACCTCGTCCGATTGATGATCCATCCCAACTGACTGAAGAGCCGCAGGGTAAAATCCCTGTGGCGAAGCAGCATCTTCGAGTCCCGGTTGTTGAGGAGACAGTCGTTGATGCATGGATCGAAGTTGATCTTCCTCAGGTGTAGATGGGCTGCAACAGGCTCGGTGATCCGTGTGAAAAGCCACGTGGCCGTGGCCGTGGTCGGTGCCCAGGACGGCTGGGGTTGGGAGGTCCCAGTCGTTGAGGTCCAGCGGGTCAACACTTGGAGTTCGAATCGACACCCCTGCCCGAGCGACGATCACATCAGGGCAGGTTGGTGCCACAGGATTAACCCTGCACTGCCCTGTAACACGGGGTTGTACAGTCCAGGCAGCAGGGGTGGGGGTCCCGTCCAGATTTATCCCCGTGGCAGTTAGTGCAGCGAGGCATACTGGAATTTAAGCAAAGGCATAACGATGTGCAAACACACAACATGAAGCATAATGTAACTCAAAATAACTTTTTCTGTTACAAAAGTTCATAAGAGCAAACAATTACACTGTAGACACGCCAAATACAAACATTTTAATTTAGTGTAAAACCCCAAGCAAAGAGCAAATTCAAATCGCAAAACACGAAAAATACGTGGACACGTGGTGAATCGCAAAAGGGCGGGAAACAAATACTAAAATGGCGGGAAACAACAATACACTCGTAGAATACCGTGACGAGAGCCACAAAACGAGCCAATTATCAATAGGATGAAAACAAAGGTAACAAACCATATACATTCAAAACAGCAGACTTTTGTCGTAGTAAACAACACAAGTAAGGATCATAGAAAGCTTTTAATATATTTCCACGAGGGGTACAGATACGTCCATTCCGTGTGGCTGACAAAGCAGTTATGTGTTTTGACTTGACGTCAGGACTTCCAGGTCACGTGCCGACTGTGTGGGAGGGGGCACTGCTTCCTGGACAGATGGAAACAACTTTCTTAAGCAGCTGGATCTCACACAGTTCGTCTCTCTGTCATAGACAGCAGTAATTGCAATACGGAGTAATGCAGGATAAGTTCAAAAATTGACAACATTGGCAGGCAAACAATTGTAACACAATTCAAAATGGCGGCGAACAACAAATATGTGGCAAGAAAAAAGGCAGAGTCTTTTTACGCCTAATTAATTCACATAAAACAACACAGCATGTTTAAAGTAATATGAAAAGAATACATCACCCATCGCAGATCGATTTTAGGATTGTAGACGAAAACTGAAGGCCTAAATTAATCCAAAAGGCGAGCTCTACTGGGACATGTCCTTGCTGTAGTGCGACAAGCAGTGACGTGAAGAAGATGACCTTAGGTGTCATCAAGGTCACAGGACAGTGGCAAGGGTCAGTAAAAAGGACTTCAGAACAACAACTTTATTTCTTCTACCAGGAACATCGCTGATGCGCTGTCCTTCTTTGTTGTCGTAAGGTAAGCAGTGAATGCATTAAGGAGTAATGCAGAATACGTTAAAAATTGATGTTTACAATGGCAAGAATAGATTCGTGAGGCGGTTTCTCCTGAAAGTAGAGTGTTTGTGTACTTACATGCCATCCTGAGAGTAGAGTGCTGAGCACTTGTCCCCGACACTCCAGCTGTGCTCTGACACAAAAGCTTCGCCTTCACCGACACCGTCATGGTCGCCTTCATCCCCTTCAGCTGTAGCTGTTAATTTGCCAACTATCAGCTCTGTGGTCAGGTCAATCACTTCCTGCAGAGGACACACAAAAACATTTCAGTGAAGGCTTCATACTTCAACCTTATCTGTTGTATGAGCATCAATTTATCATCAGTCAACTTTTTATAAACATCAGTTATCACACAGGTACATAACATTCCTACTTCACATTTCTGTACATCATTTGCTTGATAATGGTGTTTGTATCGACACCGAAACGTCGCATTTATTGGAATAAAGAAGTTGTATATCAAAAGAACTAACTCCCTTGTTTATTTTCATTCAGAAATTAATTCTGTGGGTATTCAAAGTTCTGATGATTGAATGTAGGCCTACTATATTATGAGGATGAAATACATTTTATGTCGAGGGCTTTTAAAGCTTTCATCCTTTTATTGTATCTTCAATATCTCTAAAAGTGAAAGTAGGTGATTAAACCCCCTTAATTTGTCACATTCCATTAAGGCATGTCCTTTTTTATTAACTGGTTTATGGATCTGCTGACCATAAGTTCAGGAAAGTAGAAAAAACAACAACATTCAACTGAGTGCTTATTTATTACCGCTGAGTTTGAAAACCCAATTTAGCAATAAAATAATATATGACAAATTGATATTAAACTTACAACGACAGTATGTTTCAAGAACTGTCCAGGATCTTGGCCATCATGACATGGAATTATCATCAGTATTTTTTTAAAACCTACCAACCATATATCTACACACACACACATAATACATCAAGTTTTGAGAGAAAAAATCTGTAAACCAACATATAAAACAAAAATTAACTGCTTTCAGGAAACTGAATAATTTCTCACATACCTGACATTTTTTCATAAACCAAGGGAAATATATTGTGGCCTTACAGTCAGAAACTAGAAACCTTGAACATTTTCCCACAGCAAGAAACAACAAACCTTGAACATTCTGTTACAGCAAGAAACAACAACCCCTGAACATTCCCTTACAACCAGAAACAACAAACCTTGAACATGCTCTTACTACCAGAAACGAGAAACCTTGAACATTCCCTTACAACCAGAAACAACAAACCTTGAACATGCTCTTACTACCAGAAACGAGAAACCTTGAACATGCTCTTACTACCAGAAACAACAAACCTTGAACATTCTCTTACAACCAAAAACGAGAAACCTTGAACATGCTCTTACTACCAGAAACAACAAACCTTGAACATTTTCTTACGGCAAGAAACAAGAAACCTTGAACATGCTCTTACTACCAGAAACAACAAACCTTGAACATACTCTTACTACCAGAAACAACAAACCTTGAACATTTTCTTACAGCAAGAAACAAGAAACTTTGAACATGCTCTTACTACCAGAAACAACAAACCTTGAACATTTTATACGGCAAGAAACAACAAACCTTGGACATGCTCTTACTATCAGAAACAAGAAACCTTGAATATTTTCTTACAGCAAGAAACAAGAAACCTTGAACTTTTTCTTACAGCAAGAAACAAGAAACTTTGAACATGCTCTTACTACCAGAAACAACAAACCTTGAACATTTTATACGGCAAGAAACAACAAACCTTGGACATGCTCTTACTATCAGAAACAAGAAACCTTGAATATTTTCTTACAGCAAGAAACAACAAACCTTGAACATTTTATACTACCAGAAACAAGAAACCTTGAACATTTTATACGGCAAGAAACAAGAAACCTTGAACATGCTCTTACTACCAGAAACAAGAAACCTTGAACATTTTATACGGCAAGAAACAAGAAACCTTGAACAATTTATACGGCAAGAAACAACAAACCTTGAACATGCTCTTACTACCAGAAACAAGAAACCTTGAATATTTTCTTAAAACCAGAAACCAGAAACCTTGAACATTTTCCCACAGCAAGAAACAAGAAATCTTGAACATGCTCTTACTGTCAGAAACAAGAAACCTTGAATATTTTCTTAAAACCAGAAACAACAAACCTTGAACATTTTCCCACAGCAAGAAACAAGAAATCTTGAACATGCTCTTACTGTCAGAAACAACAAACCTTAAACATTCTCTTACGGCAAGAAACAACAAACCTTGAACATTCCCTTACAGACAGTAGATTTTGTTTTTATCTAGATCTCTGACCTTGGTGATCTGATTATTGAAAATAGACCTTTCAGGAGGGTTTATCTGATAGAATATCAACATCAGCTGGACTAGAATGTCCACCACTCTCTCAGTATTCTGTTTAATTCACCCCATACCACCCTCTCCCTGCCTGTCTGAAAGTGTCTCATTGAGACAGTACTCCTCCCACCCTACCCTCTCCCATCCCTACCTCTCCCTGCCTGTCTGAAAGTGTCTCATTAAGACAGTACTCCTAGCACCCTACCCTCTCCCACCCTACGCTGTCCCACCCTACTCTCTGCCATCCCACCCTCTCCCTACCCGACTGAAAGTGTCTCATTGAGACAGTACTCCTAGCACCCTACCCTCTTCCACCCTACTCTCTCCCACCCTACCCTCTACCCTATCCCACCCTACCCTGTCCAACCCTACTCTCTCCCACCCTACTCTCTCCCACCCTACTCTCTGCCATCCCACTCTCTCCCTGCCTGTCTGTGAAGTGTCTCATTGAGACAATACTCCTAGCACCCTACCCTCTCCCACCCTACCCTCTCCCACCCTACTCTCTGCCATCCCACTCTCTCCCTGCCTGTCTGTGAAGTGTCTCATTGAGACAGTACTCCTCCCACCCTACCCTCTACCACCCTACCCTCTCCCATCCCACCCTCTCCCTGCCTGTCTGTGAAGTGTCTCATTGAGACAGTACTCCTCCCACCCTACAATCTACCACCCAACCCTCTCCCATCCCACCCTCTCCCTGCCTGTCTCTGAAGTGTCTCGATGAGACAGTACTCCTCCCACCCTACCCTCTCCCACCTACCCTGTCCCACCCTACTCTCTCCGACCCTACTCTCTGCCATCCCACCCTCTCCCTCCCCGCTCTCTCCCACCCCCACCCTGTCTCTGAAGTGTCTCATTGAGAGAGTACTCCTCCCACCCTACCCTCTACCACCCCTCTCTCTCCCACCCTACCCTCTCCCTCCCCGCTCTCTCCCACCCCACCCTCTCCCACCCTACACTCCCTGCCTTTAAAGTGTCTCATTGAGACAGTACTTCTCCAACCCTGCCCTCTACCCTTTACCACCCCTCTCTCTCCAACCCCACCCTTTCCCATCCCGCTCTCTCCCACCCTACCCTCTATCAACCTACCCTCTACCACCCTACTCTCTCCCACCCTACCCTCTCCCACCCCACCCCACGCTCCCCCTGCCTGTGAAGAGACCCCATTGTGACAGTACTCCTCTCTCCCAAACCTATCCCTGCCTGTGATGTGTTCCCATTGAGACAGTACTCCTCCCACCCCCACCCTCTCCCTGCCTGTGAAGTGTCCCCACCTTGACAGTACTCCTCCCACCCAACCCTCTCCCTGCCTGTGATGTGTCCCCATTGAGACAGTACTCCTCCCACCCCCACCCTCTCCCTGCCTGTGAAGTGTCCCCATTGTGACAGTACTCCTCCCACCCCACCCTCTCCCTGCCTGTGAAGTGTCCCCATTGTCACAGTACTCCTCCCACCCCACCCTCTCCCTGCCTGTGAAGTGTCCCCATTGAGACAGTACTCCTCCCACCCCACTCTCTCCCACCCTACCCTCTCCCACCCCACCCTCTCCCTGCCTGTGAAGAGACCCCATTGTGACAGTACTCCTCCCACCCCACCCTCTCCCTGCCTGTGATGTGTCCCCATTGAGACAGTACTCCTCCCACCCCACCCTCTCCCTGCCTGTGAAGTGTCCCCATTGTGACAGTACTCCTCCCACCCCCACCCTCTCCCTGCCTGTGATGTGTCCCCATTGAGACAGTACTCCTCCCACCCCCACCCTCTCCCTGCCTGTGAAGTGTCCCCATTGTGACAGTACTCCTCCCACCCCACCCTCTCCCTGCCTGTGAAGTGTCCCCATTGAGACAGTACTCCTCCCACCCCACTCTCTCCCACCCTACCCTCTCCCACCCCACCCTCTCCCTGCCTGTGAAGAGACCCCATTGTGACAGTACTCCTCCCACCCCACCCTCTCCCTGCCTGTGATGTGTCCCCATTGAGACAGTACTCCTCCCACCCCACCCTCTCCCTGCCTGTGAAGTGTCCCCATTGAGACAGTACTCCTCCCACCCAACCCTCTCCCTGCCTGTGATGTGTCCCCATTGTCACAGTACTCCTCCCACCCCACCCTCTCCCTGCTTGTGATGTGTTCCCATTGAGACAGTACTCCTCCCACCCCACCCTACACTCCCTGCCTGTGAAGTGTCCCCATTGTCACAGTACTTCTCCCACCCCACCCTCTCCCTGCCTGTGAAGTGTCCCCACCTTGACAGTACTCCTCCCACCCCACCCTCTCCCTGCCTGTGAAGTGTCCCCATTGTCACAGTACTCCTCCCACCCCACCCTCTTCCTGCCTGTGAAGTGTTCCCATTGAGACAGTACTCCTCCCACCCCACCCTCTCCCTGCCTGTGAAGTGTCCCCATTGTGACAGTACTTCTCCCTACCAACCCTCTCCCTGCCTGTGAAGTGTCCCCATTGAGACAGTACTCCTCCCACCCCACCCTCTCCCTGCCTGCCTGTGAAGTGTCCCCATTGTCACAGTACTCCTCCCACCCCACCCTCTCCCTGCCTGTGAAGTGTTCCCATTGAGACAGTACTCCTCCCACCCCACCCTCTCCCTGCCTGTGAAGTGTCCCCATTGTCACAGTACTCCTCCCACCCCACCCTCTCCCTGCCTGTGAAGTGTCCCCATTGAGACAGTACTCCTCCCACCCCACTCTCTCCCACCCCACCCCACCCTCCCCCTGCCTGTGAAGAGACCCCATTGTGACAGTACTCCTCTCTCCCAAACCTATCCCTGCCTGTGACGTGTTCCCATTGAGACAGTACTCCTCCCACCCCACCCTCTCCCTGCCTGTGAAGTGTCCCCATTGAGACAGTACTCCTCCCACCC